AAGAAGCCACTACAAGAGGCCTAGGCTTCAAGGACATGGTGTATTTGTTGCACAGTCTGGTTTTACAAGTATTAATGTAAGTGTATTTATTTTTTTGGTCCTTAGATTTTATTGTCTAACATACTATATGATGTTGTTGTCTAACTTTGAAATGTATCTTTTGGTTTGAATGTTATCAGCATAGTTTGCCTACAGCCAGAAAGGTTTATACTGGCCCTTTAATTGATTCTACCCATGTTACTGGTGATATTGGATATAAGCCTTCTAAAGGTTTGAAATGGAAAGGGAAGGAAGCTGTGACTCAAAGACAACTTCAAGTCTAAGCTACAATGGCTAGAATCAAGACAAGGTCCCAATCCGCTGGAATATAAACAAGATCTAAGGTTATGGGGAAATCTCCCTCCAAGAAGACCACATGAATTTTTTTACTATTTGGATGTAGTATTTGATATACTAGACTTCTTTTTTGTTGAATTCGTGGGGTGACTGTTTTAGTTGAATTCATGGGGTGTCTATTTTTTGTGGATACGGATGGTGGTACGCAACTTTATTTTGTGCACTTATTTGTCATGTGTATGTCTAGCTGTATATGGATAGCATAATTTAACTCTATTTTTTGATGTTAAATTCTGACTTTCTTTGTCAAATTACCAGCTATGTTGACAAAATGTTGTGATTGTGATTGGTTATTTTTGTGGATACTGATGGTTGTTTTTATATAAATTGTGATTGGCATCAATTCCATATGTTGACAAAATGTTGACATAGTAGTGTCGAACAATATATCATATTGCTTCACTTCTATTACATACTACCAGATAACCATTATATGTACATGAGCAAAATCAGATTCCAAAGTAAACTGAAAAATAATAGACTCTTTAGCATTCTTTCCCTCTTCTATAGTTTGATAGTCTTCTTCAACAACCCAGAAATAACAATGTTTGCTTGCTCCGAAAATGGAGGTTCATACCACTGAAAAAATAGACAAGAATTTGTCTTCGAATAAAGACTACATCCAAAGAATTGTCGTCCAGGATTTGCAGTAGTCCATAAAAATTTTAAAGGAGCTGGCTTGCCATATCTACAAAAATCATTCATCTTCTTTCTTCCAAGTAAAAAAATGGTTGTTATTTGGGCAAAAAATAAGAGCCAAAATCTGGGGGGGGGGGGAATGGAATTTGGATGGACAAAGAATATGAGAACAAAACAAATGTTGAAGAATTAGAAAGAAGATAATAAATAAGGGAGAGAATGGGGTTGTTACCGTTGGGATCTTCATTTTTGGGGGAAAATACACTTATTACCATTAGGGATGGTTCTAGGATTGGGAAAGGGAAATATTCAACTAATGTGGCAAAACATATACTCCCCCAAGCGCTCTCAGCCATTTGAACCAATTTTTTACTGCCATGTGGTAGGTTAGGTGGGGGTAATAACATCCGAAAAAGTAAGCATGGGGGGGATTAAAATCATGTATAGTTAAGGTGTACGCTCATTAAAAAGTGTCAAGTTCAGGGGGGTCTTTACCTATTCTGCCTTGAATTAAAGAAGGTGTTGTCCTATGCTGAGTTACTTTTCTATCTCTGTTGTTGTTTTTAAGGTTTTATATACGTTGTGTGGAGCCTTGGGCTATTTGCTTTGAAATTAATTGATTTTTGTTGTATCTTTGGAGTTGTTTGTGGCAGGTGGGCAAATTGTGATATGAATTGTTGTATTGTGTTGTCGTTTAAACACTTTTCTTGATATTATTTATGCTTCCTACCTTGCTTGTTAATAATATACACGTGCTTGGTAAGGAAGAGTGTAAATCATGAAGGGTGATGACGTGCCATTTGAGAGTGTAAAGCACGAAGGGTAATGATGTTCCATTTGAGAGTGTAAAGCACGAAGGGTGATGCCGTGCCATTTCAGTTATATTATCATGTGAGGAAAAGTATAAAGCCCGAAGGGCGATGTCGTTCCATTCTTAATATGCACGATATATAATGCTGTGCCATTTCATTTATATTATCATGTGAGGATGATAGTAAAAGCACGAAGGGTGATGCCGTGCCATTATTTTTACATTATCATATGTTCATGGCACGAAGGGTGTTTCTATAACGACCCGATCGGTCGTTTTGAGCATTTGCACTTTGCTCGGTAGTTTAAAGGCATGAGTAGCTCCGTATGATGTATTTTGACTTGTGTGAATCGTTGATTTTGATTTTCAGGTTATTCGGGACTGGTTTGGAAGAATGATTCTCAACTAGGGAGCTTTAAATTTGAAAGAGTTGACCAAGTTTGACTTTTTAGCATTTGACCTTGGATTGGAATTTTGATAGTTCCGTTAGCTTTGTTTGGTGATTTTGGACTTAGGAGCGCGTCTGGATTGCGATTTGGAGGTCCGTGGTTGATTTTGGCTTGAAATGGCAAAAGTTGGAATTTTGGAAAGTTTGATCGAGATTGGATTTTTTGATATCGGGGTCGTATTCCGATTCTGAAAGTTGGAGCAGGTCCGTAATGTCGAATGTGACTTGTGTGCAAATTTTGAGGTCAATCGGACGTAATTTGATAGGTTTCGGCATCGGTTGTGGAAGTTAAAGTTTCAAAGTTCATTGAATTCGAATTGAGTTGTGATTCATCGTTCTGATGTTGTTATGTATGTTTTGAGACTTCAAGTAGGTTCATGTTATATTACGGGACTTGTTGGTATATTTGGACAAGGTCCCGAGGGGCTCGGGCGTGTTTCAGATTGATTTCGGATCATTTTTCTTCATTTTGGTACTGCTGTGTTCTGTTGTTTTTCTGGTGTCTTAGTTCTCCATCGCATTCGTATGGCAAGTGTCACGAACACGTAGTGTATTTTGATGGCAGCAGCAAATTGTTCTTTACGATCACGAAGTATGTTCCGCATTCGCGTAGAGTTGGGGAAAGTCCTCTTCGCGTTTGCATATGGAGGATCGCGTTCGCGAAGTGTTGAGGTTGGTATCCGGGAATTTGAGCATTCTTCTCTGCGATCGCGTAAGGTTAGTCGCGTTCACGAAGCTTTGGCATCAGTATTCATCACGTTCGCATGGGGTGAATCGCGAACGCGTAGAGTCTTTTGTGGCTGTGAGAGTTTTATTCATCGCGAACGCGATGGTTTTCCCGCGTTCGCGAAAGAGGACGTCTGGGTAGTGTATATAGTACTCTATTTCGAAGGTTTCAGACATTTTTACATTTTGGGAGCTATGAAGCTCGGTTAAGGTGATTCTTGAAGCAATTTTCACCATATGAATTGGGGTAAGTGTTCTCTACTCGGTTTTGGTAATATTTCATGAATCTATCTTCGTTTTTGGTAATGGGATTGTGAATTTTAAAGAGGAAATTGGGGGTTTTGGCCTAAAGTTTTATAATATGAATTTTTGTGTTTTGAATATCAAATTGGGGTCGGATTTGAGTGAAAATTGTATGGTTGGACTCGTAATTGAATGGGTTGTTGAATTTTGTAAATTTTATCAAGTTCCGACGTGCGGGCCCGGGTTGGGATTTTGGCCGATTTTGGGCTTTTGATTCAAGATTTGATCTTTTTCGATCGGGATTGGTTCCTTTAGCATTGTTTGATGTATTTGAGTTATTTTTGGTTAGTTTCGAGCTGTTTGGAGGTCAGAACGCGCGTGATGGCATCTTTGGAGCATCGCTTGGCTTGCTCGGCATTGGTATTGGCTTGTTCAAGATAAGTAACTCTTGTAATATTAGTGCTGAGGGTATGAAACCCCAAAACACGTGTTATGTGATCGGTATTGAGGTGACGCCCATGCTACGTGACTGGCGTGTGGGCGTGCACCATGTGAATTGAGACTCTGTTATTTCTATGTCACTGTATAGTGGCCCTACTTTATTTATATCTGTGTTTTCACCATGTGATAAAGTAGTTAAGCTGTCAATCATGCTAGATATCCTGTTTGGGCATTATGCCGATATTGTTTGGACCCATAGTGGTCGTTTCTTACTATCATCTCACTGATTTCACTGATATTTCGTACTCAGTCATATTCATGCATTCATATCGTATCTTAGTCTCAGTTATTTATTGATACACCATATCATTATTGTCGGGCTAGTTTCATGACATTGTGAGCCCGTGAGAGAGACTGGAGAGATTGATGACTGTTGAGGCCAAGGGCCTGAGTGAGAGTGATATTTTGGGATCGGGCTGCACGCCATAACATGTTATATTTATTACATTTTATGGGATCGGGCTGCAGGCCGCAACGATATATTGATTACTTTCTGTGGATCAGATTGCACGCCACAATGAGCTTTATGGCTACTTATATGATTGGGTCATGCTGTACGCTGCAGCGATATAGCGCTTGGGCTGAAAGGAGCCATTCCGGAGTCTGCACACCCCCAGTGAGCGTAGTCGACTATAAACAAGGATCGGGCTGTACGCCGCAGTAGGTATTGTACATTGCTAAGTGATTGAGTGTGCTGCGCATAGTGAGAGAGAATGCGAGGCAGTGAGATTGAGCACTCTGAGAGCGTGAGTACATGAGATCATCATCTGGATGCATTGCATTTGACATGTGTACTTGAGATACATGCATAGAGGTGAATTTCCTTCTGCCACCCAGTTTGGGGACATTTATGATTTTACTTGTATCTTGACATGTAGGCATAGAGAAGTACCTTCCTCATGCTATCTAAAAATGAAATATCTTACTATTTGTTGAAAGGAGTTTTTGGGAAAAATCACAGTTTTCAAACTTACTCGTATATTGGCTTTTCGGTAAAAGATTTGGATTTTCACTGAGATACTTGAAAAGAAATGCCTTTTTTTTCTGGAACTGTGAATGAACTCAGCCTTTTATTTCTGAGATTCTTCTTTGTTATCATACTATGCTGTTATGAACTGTTGTGGAATATTGGTGTTGGACCCGACCTTTCTGTTAGCTCGTCACTACTTTCAACCTAAGGTTAGGTTTGTTACTTATTGAGTACATGGGGTCGGTTGTACTCATACTACACTTCTGCACCTTGCGTGCAGATGTTGGCTGCTGATGTTGCTGTGTTCGATAGGAGCTGGATTGAAGATGTACATGTGTCCCGGCTGTAGCTGCCTCTTATTCGTGGTAACTTTAGATCTATAAAACTCTATTTATGTACTATTCAAACAGACTATGTATTTATTTTATTTTCGCATTGTAAACTCTATTCTTATATGCTCATGATTTGTACTACCAGTTCTTGGGGAATGTATAAGATTCAAATAATTTCTTTACTTAAATTTCTTTAATAATTGTTATTGGAATTAGATATCTGATAATTGTCTAACTTAGCGGGTTGGGTTAGGTGC